CAAACGTTTGTGCACGACCCATTGCGGACTCCCCAAATGCTTGCTTTAGGATTTCATAGGTTTCCGTAGCCGTTTTGGCGAGTCTTTGGCAAAATTTGATGCACACGCGCCATTCCGAAATCGCAGGAGGGTCGGTGTAATGCACTACCAAAACGCCCGTAACTAAGAAACAAATGCTAATTCGATGATGCCGGCTGGCACACTGATTCACCATGAATGTAGGCCGCACCCCCTAGCGGCAGAAGCTCGTACTACATCCGGTTCGCCCTCTAGTGACACAGTCTGGAAACTTTCCGATCGCACCTCTTATATTTGCTTCCCTAACGGGACTGAAGTTACTGTTATACACTTGTTGCACTAGCTTGGAATAGTTGTTCAGCAAATTGTACTTACGAAGTTAAATAACAACCGCTAGATTTTTAGGTTTTCACGGCGGTGAATCCGAGTGGTTTCACGCATAGTTTCTGTCGGATAGTTTGAGATAATGTTTTCAGTTGTAATTTTTAGGGACGGTTTTTGGGTGTAATTTGAAGCACAACTTTTGGGAATAGTTTGTCTATAACACTTTTAGTTGTTATCAGACAGTTTCAACTGTTAGTTTTCTAGGTCTTGTTTCAGTTAATATTACTGAGGAACATATTAAAAGCACAGTTTGTCAAATAGTTATCAGAAATGTCTTAGTGAATAGTTTCTATGGAAGGAATTTGTGTTTTTACATGGGCAAAGTATTACTTGAAATGACTCTATTCTGGGATGTTGTGTTGTTTGTTAGAAGTTTACCGAAGTTACAGCAGTGCTTACTGCCTACATCATCGCCCTGATTATGGAGGCAGCAAGCACCTCTGAAACTTCGGTGAACGTCTGACAGATCACACGACCCAACAACCCAGAAGACAGTCTTCCTAATTCACATTCGCCGCCGTGAGAACTTGAAATTCCAGAAAATGTCTCTCGACAATTTCACCCACAAATTTGTAGTGTCTAAAAGGGTACGGTAATACAAATAAATGCACACTTGGCAGTTGAAGTATTTTAGTGTAAGGGCTTGCACAATTGTGAAAAAGCACTTGAAGTTGAGGTTGAGGACACGTCTTCAAGTGCTTCTACGTGTTTTCTGTTATCTGCGCAGTGCTTGAAGCATATCTGCATGGCTTTTGACGAAGTTACAATTGAGTTTTTGTTTAATACCAGACTATTGAACCGTATGGTACATTTATCGGACAGTGCGATTGTGTGTACTGAGTAATGTGGAAATAGGTTTACTAATAAATCTGTAATAAAACTGTACAGGAAGTGGTCCTCGTTACAGAGATGTTCACGTGATGCTGTAGTCAAAAATAGCAAATGTTAAATTTATCGCCTCAACTACAAAGACCTGCCACTGTGTCCTATGCCCACCCCGCTACATCATCGTTGTCCTCAGATCTGCACAGTGAAAGTGGCGTCTTTGGACTGGTTTTCCGGACCAGATTTGTCTATTACGACCCACTCACTCCTACGGTAATGGTGAGAGTGGTGATTCTGGTTTGTTATTGTGATTTTGGTAATGCGTCTTCTGCGTGCGTTGGTGTTTCTTGGTTGTGATTTGCTGATGGTAGGTGTAGCGAATCTTTTTGGTGATGGTAATTGTAATGATGAGTTTCTAGAATGTAGTAACGCGGTTTGAATGGTTTATAAATAGTACGGAAGACGCAGTCAGTTAACTGGCTAGATATAGGCTGTAGGATTTGAATGCGATTCCTCACTGGAATAGAATTTTTTCTGTGTAGTTTATCGAAACTACGAAGTTTCCTCAAACATTTGTCCAGTGAATACTTTGGGTTCTTTATCAATTGTTTAAGTGGCCGAATGTGGTCGGTAATTTCTGGAAGGTTTAGAGTGGGGTTTTCTCTTCGCCGTAGTGCACTCCTGCGAGTCCTTGAGCTTCTTCAGTCACACTTTATTTTTGTGGTGGAATTAAGAGAAAATAGGATGACAGTACTGGCCCTAGCGGTAAGAAAATAAATTATAAAATACGTAGGCGTAGATGGGAGGATAATATTAAAATTAATCTCGTCGAAATGGGGCGTGAATTAAATTTATCTGGTTTAGGAAATCGTCCAGCGGGGAGCTGTTATGAACTCGGTAATGAATCTTGGGTTTGAGAAAAATAGCGTAACTTCTCGAATTGTTGAACGTACCCTACTGACAGGTTCCCAAAGAGTTGGTTATGAAATTAATTGTTTTACATAGAGCCAGTGTTTAGGATCGTATGGGAAAATGGGTTTAGGTGCT